CGAGCAGCCTGAGAAGCGGATAGACAGAGAGAGAGAGGCGAAGCGACGGCGCCTCTCCTTGTAGCCAGGCAGCATCATTTGAGATTCAGCGGCTTCCAGCTTATTAGTTTCTCTTTGTCACGCTGCTTAATCTGGCTGCCTGCTGCTTGATCCTTGTTAAACACTATTGCTTCTGAACTCTCTAATAAAGGAGACAGTTTCAGGCAGGACCACTCAGGCAGTGAGCATTTAGAGCAATAGCTGCTTGATTGGTAGAGGGTGAAATGCTATGTTCATTCTGCTCTCTTCTTTAACCTCTTCAGGTGTGCAGGGCCCGGGCTCCGAGGCAGCCGCGCTCTGTGTTCAATGGGAAACACCGCACATTTGTGATAAGTATATGTGGGGCTTTCTCTTGATATCGATGATATGGCACCAAAGTCTTTCCTTATTTTATTCCAAGATGGTTGTGGCGCCATAGGCATTATTCAAATGGTAATGCAATTTGTTATATATTTTATAAAACGCCAAAGGGCTCTGCACTCCTTAAATGCAAAAACAGCAGTGTATTTATTTCAATAGTACGGTTCATTTGAATGTACAAAACAAAGATGTTTTCATGCGCCCTTTGGGGTCTTATGTATTAGGTAGCATAGCATGCGAGTGACGCGCACCCTGTGTGCACCTGTACCTGGTTCACACAGGCAGCTCACCTGTACTGTGCAGTATCTGTGTGTGTGTATGTCATACTGTGCCTGATGAAGGGGACCCTGCGTGCCCCGAAACATTGCTTCTATGTGACAATATGCGTAAATAAAGGACGATCACTTGACCATTTAATTTGGTGTGCTGGTGACATCTTGCTTCCTCACTACATAGAGACTAGTCCCGATAGTCTTCATTATGTACAAGTGAAGAACAAAGAGTTGCAGCATTAAACTCTATTTATTGTAGATAGTCATTCAGGACATGCCTAAGTAGCTGAGTATATGTAGCCAGTATATGACAGTTTCAGGCCTTCATCAGGTTATGGCACATTGCAATAGCCAATAGCAAGCTGGCTATTGCACCCGCCCACTGCCTGCTGTCAATCAGCAGAGGAATGACCTAAGGGAAGGACCTGAAGGAGAGTGGGGAGGGGGCACAGCAGCTGACAGCGGTTTCTCCTCCCTGCTGGATGCCGGCTGCAGCGGTCTGTGTCCCCTCCGATCCCCTCTGCCGATACAGGTGGGGAGAGCAGCGTGGATTGAAGAGGACACAGACCTCAGCGGGCTCCCAGCGGGGAGGAGAACGAGGGAGCAGAGCTGATGCGTTGGTGGAGGAGGCTGACAAAAGCCCAGGCGCCAGGATGCAATTTCTATTTGCCACGGTGACCTGTCGCCTGGGATTTGTCGTGCCCTGCTGTACTAGGTAAAGCGGTACAGCTAGAGAGTATGCTTTATTATGTTCAGGACTACTTTTTTTGTTTCTTTTTTTATTATACAAATATGAATTATTTGGCAATATTTCATAGTTGCATTTGCTCTAGGCTTCTTTTCACATGTTTACCTGTCTATTCATAGCTGCTCTATTGAAAAATAGGCCCAATAGCTCAAGCGGAAATATACACACCCAGTACTGCACTGGGAAAAGTGTTACAGCTTTATTATCTTTTAGGATTAATATTTTTGTGGGGGGGGGGGGTTGTTTTTGTTTTTCCCATTTGTCTCATTTTTTTTTTTTAATATTGTCCAGATATGAAATATTTGGCAATACTTTATACCTACATTTTACTCAAAGCTTCTTTTCATATGTTTACCTGTCTATTCTTAGCTGCCCTATTGAAAAAAAAAAGTCTATTTAGAAAACTCAATAGCTCAAACGGAAACAAGCACGCACAGCTTCCTCACCCCCACCAGCCTGCCTGTTCAAACCGGTATGTTAGGAGCTTCAGTCAGACAATGCTGGTGTAAAGATCTTGGAATGGGAAAGATGGGCATAAAGATCTCAAAACTGCAAGCCCTAAACAGCAGATATGAACTTACTGACCAGGAACAAGTATGCAATTTGTGACTTGTGAATCTACTGGCTGCTTCCAGGTCACTAAGGAAGCTACTGATACTCTGGAGACCATAATGTTACTCCACACCACAGCTTGCATTATATATCACATTATTAAATATAGGCTACTATATGGAGCCTGCAGTGTGTCAAGGGGTTCTCTGCTCAAAGCAATTGTTGATTGCAGGAGAGGCTGGTCACATGTCTGGTAGGTCACATGTCTGACTGGGATCTTCTCTCTGCTTTTCTTTTGTACTTTTAAATAGAGCTTTATATGGGACTTGGAGTCCCAAAGCAAGCCAAGCTCTAAGAGCATTTGTGATGAGCTTCATAAATGTGCTTCGGTAAGGCCCCACCACTGCTCTATAACCGCAGCCTAAAATAGTGAGCATGAAAGATAGTATGCGAGCAAATGACCAGTGGCATGACCCGTAGTTCTTTTATGACAGGTTTGCTTTACATTTTGTGTAATAGATCTACTCTAATCCTGCCATAAACATTCAGGCAACTCAGAAAAAGTTTCACCTGGCAGTAACGGCGGTGAGAGTTTCTTAAGTTAGAAATAAGCTAAAATTTCCCATCAGGTATGTGCATGTTGTCTGACTGCGAGAGATGGCACAGCGCTGATGATACCTGTGGAGCGGGCACATTTGTAGCAGGCGTGGGAAGCTGCATTTATTAATGCACATCTGTTACTTGTTACCAGTCTGCTACTGAAATTATTTACTGAGAATTTGTGTCTTACAGGGATGTTTCCTGTCTGCACATTAAGCAGGCTGCGGCACAGTCATGCCATTTTCCGCTAATATCAGCAGCTTTGTCCATATGCACATTGCACATTCTATACCGCTGGAGCCTAAGCTGTGGCCCGGGGCCGAATGCGGCTCTTTGGCACCTATTGTGCTGCTCTCGGTGCCCCAGCAAACAGTGGCCTGTTTTGGTGCTTTCAGTAAAGGAAAAATAGTTTCTACAAGTTAATGGTTTGGTTTATTTCTTTTGCAATATCTTACTTTTTTCTGTCCATCCCTTTTTTTTCTTTATGTTTTTTTTTCCTACTGATCTTTCATGATCATTCTTGCTGAGAGACATATTAAATGGGGCACAAGCAATCTTTAAGAGGGCTGTAGGGAGCACAATTATGAAAGTGTTGACTTGTACAAGGGCAGAATTAGCAGTGGAGCATTCTGTTGTAGTATGTCTCCAGTCAATGACTGTCTCCTGAAGCATTTCTCCACTCTTTAACAACACCTGTAGCATGTTTGCAGTCTCTGACCATCTCTTGTTGCACGTTGCCAGTCTCTGACAGCTTTCTGTATCATTACGTTCAGTGAATACTATGACCGGCCCTTTGGTGATGCCATGGGCTGCACTTGAGGCCCCCAGTATTAGGTACGTTGACCACCACTCTTCTATACAGTCTGGTACCTCCTGGATACCCACCAGCTTCTGGAGGTTTGTAGGCTTGCTGGTCAGTGATGCAGTTTCAGCCTGGCCTGTGTGGGGGGAAACTGTAGCCACAGACAAAATACTTGCCAACATTTTAAAATTATTTCCATGGACAATTTGTTAGTGTATCTCAATCACTCAGAAGACAACTCTCTGTTTCAGATGACATCTGTATATGGCTTCTCCAGAATCTGTTTTTAAAATGCTTATTTTGCATTTCAAATGCTGGTCTTTAGTTGAAGCCGAGATAAATCCTGCTATTAACATAACCTTTTTAATAAAAGCCTTTTAATATAACGTGCTGCCCTGTTAGCTAATCGTATCTGCAAAGCTAGTTAATGCTTACAAAACGTTGCTTGTCACAGCAATTGTGCTCAGGTGCCAGCCGCTAAAGGGAGCTCGGATCCGCTGCTGAGTTTTGAGGTCCTCACTGACATGTTAACCTACTACCACTGTTTTAGGCTGGGTTAGGGAACCTTCATATGCCTGCAAGCTTCTTCAGATGCCTCATGCTAATGCTTTCTTGGGCAACCAATTGTTTGTCCATTTTTTTCCCCTCAAAATCAGTATTGTATTGTTTTTTTGTCATATGTGCTTCCTGTTTAAGATATTTTCCTACACTTCCTGTCACGGCAGAAAGTGAGAGAAAATCTCTCCAAAGTGTGGTAAATCTCCTCTTAGATATCTGTCAATGGAACAGATTTCCCATTGTCAGATTTTCTCCCTATGCCTTTTCTGGTGGCAACTGAAAATGTTACATATTCCTTGGCAATGGACAGCAATAAGAACTAAGAACAATAAAAAAAAAAAGTTTGCTTGAGAAACACAAGGCCAACTAGGTGGATATTAATCCAAGCAGATGCAGAACTATGGTACCTAGCCCACTTGCTCATGGTGATTCTAAAACTGGAAAGGTGGTTTTATGGCACTAAAGAGCAGGCATGTAAAACTGGTATAATGGGCCTCATGTGACTTTTTGACTCATGCTTGTTGTAACCCTTGACTAGTTTCAATCCCGTTGTAATCTAGAATATCCTTTACATCTTCTGAGAAGTCTTTCCACACGTTTTGGGGTATGTCCTTGGAAACTTGTGCCAATTCACAAATAGAGCTTTTGTGGGGTCAGGTACTGATGCTGGATGAGAAGACCTGGCTTGTAATCAGAGTTCCTATTCATCCCAAAGGTGTTTAATAGGGTTGAGTTTCCTCCTACACAAACTGAATTACTAAACTTCTTCTTTCAAAAAACAAAATCTGTCATTGGTATTTTAGACAGACATGTGTGGCTCATAGCTGGACTAGCCTGGCCTTTATAGATGAATGCAGCTCATTTTGGATCTTTGTCTCATTTGACTGACATAACCACCATAGATTCTTGCTTCCATGGTCCCCAGTTAAGAGAGAAAATGTGAACACAATATAATTATGTTTCAGTTGCTTTCAGGATTTCCCAAATTGTACATTTTATCTGACTGGCTGTCTGTTCATAAGGATGAATTTGTGTTAATACAAGTGTGTTTGTGTTCATTTTTCTCCAGGAAATTTGGATCTGACAGGTCAAAAGCAAGTCTTCAAGGCTGAGAACAACCCTTGGGTCACACCGATTGCTGACCAGTTCCAGTTGGGAGTTTCTCACGTGTTTGAATACATACGGTCTGAAACCTACAAATAGTAAGTACAGTTCACTTACTTTTAACTTGAAGAAGAGTACTGATAATTTATGGTAACATTTTTATCAAGTGGCCATTTTAAATACAAATATTAAGGTTCTTTTAAACCCCTTCAACCTCTATTACTACTCTCAGAGAATGGTTGGTTCACTTTATAAAATCATATTGTGTTTGCATGTGGCTTTGAAGCCTAGAAAAAGGTCAAATGAATCTAAAAACTATGAAGGATCTCAGAAGCCTCTCAAACTGATGACTAGAAACACAAAGCGCACAGCTCACCCCTGTCGTGCATCCTTGTGATAGACTCAAAAACTGTAGAACCAGCACAAAATGATCTTCCAAAGAAAATCAAACTTTATTCCACATGCATCAATACAACAAATAACTGCTGAAGTATTTTTGCCTTACTCTGCCTTAGTCATAGCTCGCAAACTGATACCAAATGCAAACAGAATGTACTGGAAAGCAAGCTGCATATGCCTATTGCTGACCAAAGTCCATCAACACAAGCAGAAACTCTGCAAAGTTCGGCCTCACAGAGCCCACTCATTTAAGCTTGGTCTGGCCAGGATACAGGCTCTTGTCACTTGATTTGATGTACATCTTTCACCTGGGAACATTGGCTAGAGGCAGTCGCATGGATTCATCAAGCAAAGCAAGCAGCTGCAAAAGCTATCAGGGTTAAAAATGGGGACTGTCATAGCTGATGCAGTAAAGGTGACCTTAGGCTTCATTTACATGGGCCTTTAGTGCCCAAATGCAGCAATAATCTGCAGACACATGCGGGTGAAATGACAGGTGATGCTGGACAACTACAGCCGCTCAGCCTGTACAAAGCAATGGCAGGCTGACTAGAGTCACAGCTGTCCGCCACTGTTCACACATCCAGTGGTTACCTGTGGCTAAAGACAGATGACCATCCCTGTACTCAATCTGTCCAGGGCTTGTCATCTGTCCCTAGCTGCATTGCTTTGTACAGGCTGAGCGGCTGCAGCTTTCCGGAGCCATCTGTCATTCCAGGCACAAGAATCTGCAAATTCTTGTCGTACGTGGACTAGGGCTGCAACAACTAATCGACATAATCGATTATAATCGATTATTGAAAAAAGACACATTAAGCACATGTCAACGAAGCCTAACTCAATGGGCCAAACTCTTACTGTTGCTGAGATTTCAATTGCTTGATCTCACACACTGTTTCTGAATGTGTGTGAAAACAGTCAGATAACAGGCAGCAAATGTCTGATTTCAGATGACCTCTGACACTCCAGCTAAAGTGTTAGGCAGAAGAAAAAACAAGTAAAGCTAAATAAATAAGCAAACCTGCACAATTACAGGCTGAATTCCTGCATCAGCCAATCATGACGGGTTCTCTTTAACATGAAGCCCATTCAGCAGGTATTCATAATGCAGATGCTTTCTATGTTTGGCTGGAGTGTACCTTTAACTTAAAAGAATGGCAGAAAGTTGTGTAAAGAATCTGCGTAAGTTTGTCATCCTTGGTACGGTTTAATATGTGGTCTGCTAAAGTGACCCTGAGATTCATCTTACATCTCATCTAAGAATGCCAGGAGTCACAGTACCCAGCTTCTCATTAAGCAAATCAGCAGGCTGAGGAGAAGTTATCTTTAATCCTTTCACAAGTCGCTAACCTTAAACTAAACTCAACACTTTGATGCAACAGAATCAGCCAAGCAAGATCAAACTGTGGATGTTGACCCACTTGACAGCTTGGAGCAGTTCTGCTGGTTTATTGATTTTAAAGGAAAGAGACCTACAGAGAGGATAAAAAGCTATTTTTAGATGTAATTATTCACTAGGAATCTGGAATGGGCAGTGCTATAGTTTTGCTTATATCCATTATTAATTTGCACTATAACTACCCAGCAACCAACTTCTCACTAAGACCAGTCACAGTCCGTTTCACTGAGGAATACAACTGCAGACACCCTGTGCTGTTCAGCCAATGGACATTAGTGGTGCATTTGTGATAGAATACTTATTCCCTTAGCTTCATAAAGAAGGGAGCAATTTCAAATAGTCACAAATTGGAATGGGTGTGTGTATGTACAGTCATGGCCAAAAATATTGGCACCCCTGCATTTCTGTAAGATAATGCACCACTTTGCGCAGAAAATTGTTGCAATTACAAATGTTTAGGCATTCTCCTGTTTATTTCTTTTGTTTGTATTGGTATGACACAAAAAAAGTGGAGGGAAAAAAAAAGCAAAATCTGACACATTCCACGCAAAACTCCAAAAATGGGTTGGACAAAATTGTTGGCACCTTCTCCAAATTGCAAGAAATAATTGCATTCCAGGTTTTTGTGGAAAAGCATGGACAATCTCAAGGTTACAAGTCCATCTCCAGGGATCTTAATGTTCCTGTGTCCACTGTGCGCAACATTGTCAAGAAGTTTACAGCCCATGGCACTGGAGCTAATCTCCCTGGACGTGGACGAAAGAGAACAATTGATCAAAGATTGCAACAAAGGATTGTTGGAATGGTGGATAAAGAACCTCCATCAACTTACAGACAAATTCAAGTTGACCTTCAGGCACAGGGTACAACTGTGTCAGCTCAGACTATACGTCACCATCTGAATGAAAAGGGACGCTATGGTAGGAGACATAAAAAGCCAGATTGGAGTTTGCCAAAACCTGAGGAAGCCAAAATCCTTTTGGGAGAATGTGCTGTGGACAGACCAAACAAAATGACAGCTTTTTGGTGCAGCCCATCATTCTACTGTTTTCAGAAAAAGAAATGAGGCCTTTAAAGAAAAAAATACAGTCCCTACAGTCAAACATGGTAGAGGTTCACTGATGTTTTGGGGTTGCTTTGCTGCTTCAGGCACTGGATGTCCTGACTGTGTGCATTGGAAAACAGTAGGTCCCCCTACACTCCTTGCAGCGTCTCCTGCCCAAATCACAATGGTGGTGCTCGTAGTGACAATCACGGATTGCGCCGTGCACACAACAATGGAAGACAGGAATCACCAGAACTCAATAAGTAATGTTCAAATAGTAACGTCCATTTATTCGGACGCATCATCACACATATCACAGTAACCAACGTTTCGGGGCCACGCAGGGTCTCTTCTTCAGGGCAGTGATGTGACCCTGATGAAGGGACCCTGCGTGACCCCACATCTCTGCCCCGACGAAGGGACCCTGCGTGGCCTCGAAACGTTGGTTACTGCGATTATGTGTGACGATTCGTCCGAATAAATGGACGTTACTATTTGAACATTACTTATTGAGTGCTGGTGATTCCTGTCTTCCATTGACTGTGTCCATGGTATTATGAAATTTGAAGACTACCAAAGAATTCTGGGGTGCAATGTAGGGCCGAAAGTTGGGTCTCCATCAGAGGTCATGGGTCTTACAGCAGAACAATGACCAAAAGCACGTCAAAAAGCTCCCAGAAATGGTTTCAGACAAATCGCTGGAGAGTACTTGACTGGCCAGCAATGAGTCCAGATCTGAATCCCGTAGAGCACTTGTGGAGCGTTCCCAAAACAGCATTTGGGAAAAGGAACCCTTCCAACCTGTGAGACCTGGGGCAGTTGGCAAAAGAAGAGTGCTCCAAAATTCCTGTAGTGAGGTGTAAGAAACTCATTGATAGTTACAGGAAGCCATTGATTTCAGTAATTTTTTTTCCAAGGGCTATGCTACCAAATATTAATTGAGGGTGCCAATCATTTTGTCCAGTCCATTTTTGGAGTTTTGCGTGGAATGTGTCAGGTTTGGCTTTTTGTTTCTCCACTTTTTTGTGTCATACCAATACAAACAAAAGACATAAACATGAGAATGCCGAAACATTTGTAATTGCAACAATTTTCTGTGCGAAGTAGTGCGTTATCTGACAGAAATGCAGGGGTGCCAATATTTTTGGCCTCACGCCATGTATTTATGTATGTATGTGAGGCTGCCCAGTATCACAATTGATGGTTGACTGAAAGGCATTGCCGACAAGGGTGTACGTTTATGCATCTATGTTATGTATGTATATTGAGTCACCTCAGAGAAAAATGTTTGCTACATAAAGTCCTTTAAAATCTTTAATGATGATGTAATCCTCGCATCTTGAGTAATCCAAAACTACCCTTGCACTGAGGCTTCCCCTGCACTGCAAGAATTGTAAATGCTCATCTGGGGTACCGTTAAAAAGCATACCTTATACCTCACTCCTGCAGGCTTCCTACTGTCCTCAAGATTGGTTCCTCAAATTTCTTCTCTTTGGCGCCCTGTTGGTCGCATGTCCTAAATATGAGTGTCCCATGGAACATGGTGGTAAAGATGGAATTAGTCTTGAAGGCTATTTACATGTGAACTTCATTAACAGCTGAGAATGTGACATGCCTTCCCACTTTGTATAGAACTGTCAATGCAAGCAGAGAATGTTTTCTAACACACTCCCCTATGCTGTCACACATATTGATGAAAATGTATATGAAATATTAAGTTTGATTTTGTTTCACAGGTTATATTTTAATAAACATCATCCTGTATGTAGGTTGTCGGCTAATAAACATCGGCTTGGTTGGAGTTAGTACCTCCGCATCTCCTTATTACAGTAGGAAGGTTTTCCGTTGTCCGCAGAGAGAAGTAGTCAGGGCTGATAACAATGCAAAATGCACAGGAACTTATGAGCTGACTGAATTTCTGGCAGAATCAACAGCTTCCAATGGTATATTTAACACATCAAAGGGGAGCAAAGAACAGAAGATCATTGTTAGGGTTTGTAAATACTTGAAATCACTAAACAACTTGTGCTTGTCCCCAGCTGTGGCCCAAATCTCCACCCAAACCTCCCTTTTCCTTCTAGAACTCATCCCAGCATTCATTTTTTGTAAACTTACCTTGGTTCTGTAGCGAGAAATAACATTGATTCCTCCCTGTTATGGTTTTACCAGGCTTGTGAAATTCTTGCTGGTGCAGTTGCTTTGAAGAGAGATCAGCAAGGTGCCCTAGGTCAGTTCCTATTGATGAGGACACCCTC